GAAAATATAAAGCAATAGGTTTATTCCATGCTGAAAAAAGAGAACAAAGAAAACACAATGTTTCAGTTGTGGAGCCTTATTGAGGTGTGATAAATATACATATTAATCATCCAAATATTATCTTTGTAATAAAAGATGTTCCTAGATGTAACAGTGTTATAAAGATGTACAAAAGTTCAGAATTCTGGCATTAATTCCTTGTTCTTCTTCCTCTCTCCTTCTCTAGGGGCTGGCAGGCAGCAGGTAAGGGGGTGGCCAGGTCACCTGTCACTGACCACAGAACGATGACCTCTACATCCACTCAGTCCTGGAGATCACTGTACTCGCCTGTTCTTTCAGGGGGCACTTCATGCAGTGGCATAAGAGCAGCCCTCGTCACATGGGCACATAGCTAGGAGGTTGCTCTTGTGTGGTTACAGTAGGGAACTGCATCAAGCGAGTGAGCTGCTCAGCAACAAGTCAAGGTTAATCCACGTTCAAGAAGTAAAAATAATAATAAGAAAACACACTTAACAGCTGTGGATCCTCCCTCCACAGCTCAGACATTCTAGTTCTTCTTTTTTCTGTTTGCGTATCAGAATGGCGCTATGCTGCCTCAAGACCCTTCATCAGGACTGGGCGGGACAACCCTGAGAGATCCCTTGCTTCATGACCACACATGTGCTGTCTAAACTGATGTCTGATTCTGTGTCTTTCCCACAGTGCCATCGTGTCAGCCACTCTGAAGTGTCTGATGAAGTTTTACAACATCACAGACGGCGTATGTACAGCCAGCCTTGGGTCTCGCATGGTTTGATTTCTTACTGTTGGCCATCATCGCGACTGACTTCTGCTTTTCTTTGTGTGCGCCTATAGGATCTACCCAGACCAGTTCGGGCCAACTTCATCTTGAATGTGGAGACAGAGGAGCTGTTCATCACCGCAGGGCTCCAGGATAGGGTAGTGCAGGTCAGTGCCGAGAAAACATGGCATGGACCAGAACATGGCAGCAACAGACGGACATCACCACACTAACAGCGAGTAAATCTTAGCAAGGAAAAACAGAATATAAAGATGAGATTTTAGTTCAGATCTATGCTTACCTGTGGCTTCATGGTGGAGAGCTCCACAGGGCAGGGGATTCAGTCTCCAGTAGAGGCAGTCACAGCCAGAGGGGTGAATACTCAGTTCAGAGGAATGGTTAGTGCTGCAGGGTGGCAGTTATACACAAAGATGACCTGGCATGCTCTCAGTTAGCAGGAGGATTTGCCTCAAAAGGCACCTCAAAAGTTCCAGCTTCGCAGGAACTGCTGCACCTGGCTTGTGAACAAAGCTTCTGATACTGCCCCCTGGCTTTTAGAAAAGGTAGTGACATTGCACGGGTCCCCTGCAACGGGTCAGTCCTCTTTGAACAACACAGAGGATCCTCTTACATCCCCCCTGTGTTTGTCTTCACAGGTCTACGAGGGGCTGGTGTACATGGACTTCGGCAAAGAGCTCATGGAGGGGAAAGGCTATGGTATTCAGTCTTCGCACTGGGCCGTCTGGTTGCTCTCGACACAAAGATGTAGTCAAATCAAGCAGGCGTGCTTTAGCTCAGTCGGATATCCAGACCGATCTGGTTCAATCAGTTTTGATTTTATCTTTTGCCATTTCCACTCACGTGCCCTCTGCAAGCACTTTCCAGGTACGCAGTGTTGAGGCCGCTCAGTGTGTTTCTTTCCCCCAGGAGAGTACATCCCTATGGACATGAACTGCCTACCTCCACTCTGGCTGGCATACCTGGGAGATCCCAGCGACTCCGGCCGGATCCACAGCAATGTCCGTCAGCGCTGGCTAAATGGTGAGGAGCACAGACAAACGGGCTG